ACCATCTCATCTCCTTCCATAGCAATCTTGCGCGAAGCATCTTCAATCTCTTCCTCACCAGTCAGGAACAGAAGGATATCTCCCTCTCCCTCGGTGGCGTGAATCTGCAGCACAGTCCGAACGGCGGCCTCAACGTAGTCTTGCTCCGGCTCGGGGGTGTAGAAGATCTCGACCGGGTGGGTACGACCGGGAACTGCGAGAAGAGGTGCGTCCATGAAATAGCGCTGGAACTTTTGCGCATCCAGAGTGGCGGACATGATGATGATCTTCAAGTCGGGGCGACGACCCACGACTTCCTTCAGAAGACCCATCAGAATATCAGTGGCCATTGTTCTTTCGTGGGCCTCGTCAAGCATGATTGTGCTGTAGCGCGACAGGTTGTGGTCGTTCATGGCCTCACGAAGCAGCATACCATCAGTCATGTACTTCATGATGGTCTTAGGGCCGGTCATGTCCTCGAAACGGATACTGTAACCGACTTCCTCACCCAGCTTGACATCCATCTCGGCTGCGACACGCTGTGCGACGGACATGGCAGCAACTCGACGCGGCTGCGTACAAGCAACCATCTTGCCTTGGGTCTGGGGAAGGTCATCGAAGAGGACAAATTGTGGGATCTGAGTGGTCTTTCCGGAACCGGTCTCACCAACGAAGACGAGGATTTGCGATTGCTGATACATTTGCAGGAACTCATCACTACAAAAAGAGGGTCAGTGTACTCTCTTACAGAATGGCTCTCTGGGATCACTCACCGCTGCGCATGGACTGGTAGGTCACGGCGAGTCTTCAAGATCGAGAAGTATTTGGCGGAGTAAGGACGGCCACTGAAGGGGTTGATTTCACCGTCCTCGGCCTTCTTTGCCATCGCGGCAGTCGTCTGGTGTCGCTTGAACTTTGCCAGGGACGAATTCTTGCTGGAGTCATCGTTCTCGTACATGTGAGCCAGGTAAGGGTTGTTCTTTGGGTCGCCGCCGTCCATCTTCTGGCGCTTGGCTCGGGAGCCGCCTTCAGAGTCTGAGCGGTTATCAGTCATGGTCATTGTGAAAAGCCGAAGAGTGTTGAAGAGCAAACTCGGCGGGAGGAAGAGCTGAGATAGCGAAGAAAAAAAATCCGATAGGAAGGTCGGGCGAGCGCCACAGCTGCCTATCAGACTCACCGCCCCAGATATTCTGCTGCGCTCCCCACAGGGATCGATAATCTTTGGGTTGTTGATGTCCTGTTCCTGACTGAGCTTTTCTGCCTAAACAGATTACAGTGTGAACCGCTCAAGAACTGTCTGATTCCAGGTTGGGAAGTCGCTCCGTTGCTCGTCAAGAGCTCCCAGTCTGCCACATCCCTAGTTTAATCACCCCACCATTGCGCCAGACTTCTCGCTCAACATGGAAAGCTATAATCCCTCAGAAGATCCAGGACCAGCGTTCTGCGTCGGTCACCATGAACATAACAGGCTGATCTCCGTGACATCTGAGGTGATCCAACAGGTGCATGAGAGCAATGTCAGTCCTTCGTTCAATCCCATTGCTTCGGATGCTAATTTGATATGATATAGTATGACATGATGACTGTCCCAATTACGACATCGCATTTCCATTCTCGTGTACTGGGCCTGCTATCAAATTACTTGGCCACCTTGCAGTCCCCTTCTTACGATTCTATTGGGACAATGGCTACTACTCAGAACACTCGGCCTCTGGTGATTCCACCACTGTCCAAAACTGACTCCTACTTGACCCCCAACGATGCAACCAGTCAACTAGTTGGTGTGACCAGCAGCTGGATTGATCTGTGCTCGCCAGACCCATTGATTGCCGACTTATCTCGCCAAGTTCTAATGCTTGAGGTTGCGTACGCTGCATTCTGTGGAATTGGATATCTCTTGATTCCTGGACCGAAGTTGCATCATGGTGCATTGCATTCCGAGGGAGTAATCTACTACGCGCGTGCAGTTCAGGATGCGTTGAAACTCGGTCCCTATATTCAATTCCATATCTGGCTGCAGATGGTTGACAATCCAGAAGCTGAGTTTGATACTATGGGCGATCTGGCACCGCTTGCTAGAGCGGAATACTTGGAGCCAGATGAGGGCGTTTCGCTTAAAGTTGATCCATTTGGAACCTGGGACGCGTGGGACGCAATCCGAAAGACTTGCAAGTATCATACGAGACTATTTGTTGGTAAGTATTAGCCATATTCCCTTCTCCATGAACAAAAGCTGATGTGACCATAGCTCTCGCGATGCCGAAGCAGTTGCCATCTCTATATGTGCAGTCCCGCTGGCACTCGGAACCTGTGCACTTGCTCACGATTGACGCATCCTCATTCCTGAAGAACCAGAAGGGATACCCAGTCCTGGCAAAATCACACCAGGCGTTGATTGCCAAGATGATGCGCCTTCGAACTGCGCCATGGATCCTTCTTTGCGGCGTTGGCCCCATACCTGGGCTCGAAGGCATCGAAGGCTCCGGCGTCGGCCAGTCTCAACTGTCTGGATCTGATTATCCAAGTCTGTCACAGGCCAACAAGAAGCACAACGACCCAACCCCCCATTTGTCTTATATTCGGAACCTTCAACAACGCCAACCCCCGCGCACTGCCATTGAGAGGTTTGGTGTGGGATATCAGGACTATTTGCAGGCACCTTTGCAGCCCTTGACTGTCAACCTGGAGAGTATCACCTATGAAGTATTTGAAAAGGATCCTATTAAATATGAGTGGTACGAAAAGGCGATCACCAAGGCATTGAGGGATTGGGCAGACCAGAAGAAGCCCACATCTCACCCAGATGGCAAGGTAATTCTCGCTGTTGTGGGTGCTGGTCGTGGACCGCTGGTCACTAGGGCACTTAAAGCTAGTGCGGAAGCCGGTGTTGAAATTGATATATGGGCCGTAGAGAAGAACCAGAATGCATTCGTGTTGCTGCAGCGCCACAACGAAACAATCTGGGATGGTAAGGTCACTCTGGTCCAATCTGACATGCGCAGTTGGAAAGGTCCTCTGGTTCGCCGACAGCAAACCAAGGGTGCTCAGGAGCCCGTGGGAGACACCTTGGGAATTGAGGACTCTTTGCTCTACAGCCCGAAGAAGGGGGCGAACGACCCGGGCCGTGCATCTGAATCCAGGGGACTGGGCGTGACACACACCCATGTGGACATTATTGTATCGGAATTGCTTGGATCCTTCGCTGACAATGAGCTTTCTCCCGAATGTCTGGATGGTGTGAATGATCTCATCAATCCGACACATGGAATCTCCATTCCAGCCTCGTACTCCGCTCACTTCACCCCGGTGTCCGCTCCCAAATTGCACGCCGATGTTGTGCACCAGACCGTTTCCAACCCAGCGGCTCCGGAGACACCATACGTTGTGATGCTCCACGCCATTGATTTCCTGTCCACCGCAGATTCGCCTACTGGTGTTGAAAGCTCAAGCTCCAACAATGGAAACAGGGCCTCTACCCCATCGGCATCGTTCACTGCTACTGAATTCCCTACTCCGAATGTGCAGACCGCCTGGTCTTTCTCCCACCCGAACCTCCATATTCCTCCCCAGTCCCCCATGCAGTCAACAATCTCGAACGCACACAATGTGCGTCAGACTCGTCTGTCCTTCCCCGCCCAGAACCGAGGCGCATGCCATGGTTTGGCCGGTTACTTTGAGACAGTGCTTTACGGCGATGTGGAGCTGTCTACCAATCCCGTGACTATGGATGCCAAGAGCGCAAACATGATCAGCTGGTTCCCTATCTATTTCCCGTTGAAGGTGAGCTTCAATATACACTCTTTTATATGCCTAGTTTTTAGACTAATACTTCTGTCCCAGACTCCTCTCAATGTCCCCGAAAATGGCGAGATCATCGTTACCATGTACCGTCAAACCGATGACCGCAAGGTCTGGTATGAATGGATGGTCGAGGTATACGCACTTGAGCGCACTTCGACATCTTCCGCCAAGGCCACCCCTGCTGCGGGCAACTCGCGAGTAGGATCTCCCAGTGTCGATGGCCTGAAGGCCAAGGACAACGGCGCAAAGCCAAACTCCCGAGCTGGCTATCGCCGTGTGAGGGTTGGAATTAGTGACTTGCACTCAAGTATCAAGGACGGGTGCTTAATGTGAATATGCGAGGAGAACAGAGCAAGGATGTCTTATGAGACTTTCAGTTTTCTTTCGGTCAATGCTGCCTACACATAGACAACTAGGGATATTTTCCCCCTGTCGAACAGAGTATCCATCCATATATGTAAGGGCGAAAAGCTCATGTGTCAACTGATGGGTCCCTAGCAAAGATCAAAACCATGAAACTTCAACAGGCCTGATATCCAAGGCAAGCATAGTCCCAAGATTCCGGGCCGAGTAGCTCCCGAGATTAGTAGAGCTTAACCCTCAATATCAACTTCCTCTCTCAAATGTATACAACTGCAAAAGCACATGCAAGAAGCCCACGATCTTCACTGATGTCTCATTTGCTCTTACATATACCAACGGAGCTTTCACCCGAAATGAGTAAAAAAACCGACCCACCCCACCGATGGCCACCGTTTTTCGATCGCCAAGCTCGATCGAGTGGATCAAACGGTTCCTCATCGGCGTATTCCGCTGGCTAAATCAAGCCTGCGATCTGCACACTGTGAATCATGGGCTGGTTTTGGAATAATCTCCGGGATACCGAGGTTCAGCTGAACTGACGTCCACGGTTTATCAATCGGTTCCTAAACAGTCTACACCGGTATCGCTGGCACCTTAATCATGTGCGCGTTGCTCGGTACGAGGAACAGCTCCGAAATCCGAGGATCATCACCCGTGAGGTCGAATGGCGTATATCCTCCACGCTTTTTCGTTCCAGACGGGACTTGTGGTCCGTGGAATCGGGGTAGATCCCATGCAGGAACTGTGCCGATCCGCCGGTTGCGCAAAACTAAAGAGAACATAAGGCGGACCATTCCCTAGGGCGATGTTGCTTTGCAGTCCCGTTCATTCAGGTACCGGCATTGCCTCTATTCACCATGCGTTTCTCTTTCTTGACTATCCTGTCCGCCGTGGCTGCATTGGGTGATGCCCTCCCGAGTGTTGTGCAGATTCGTGGTATGTCACATCAATCTCCTGCATTATGCGTGATGATCACATTCCTCACACATGAGCAGATGTCCCCTCTGATAATCTGAGCCAGTTCAAGTTCTGGGTTCAGTATGCTGCGGCATCATACTGCCAAGCTGATTATACTGCTCAAGTCGGCACCAAGGTCAGCTGTACGACAGGAAACTGCCCCGATGTTGAGGAAGCCGGTGCTACAATCATCTATGACTTTTCCAAGTATGCAAATCCCACCTACATGCATAGTTTCAATGCTAACGCCCATACCACCAGCTCCACAGCCACCGATACAGCTGGCTACATTGCAGTAGATACCACAAACAAGGCAATTGTCCTCGCCTTTCGCGGCTCCTACTCAGTTCGCAACTGGTTCGCTGATGCCTCTTTCCCCTACATTGACCCCGACCTCTGCGACGGCTGTTTCGCCGAACTGGGCTTCTGGAGCTCCTGGACGAATGTCCGCGACGACGTCAACGCGCAGCTCGAAGATGCCCTGTCCCAGAACCCAGACTATGAACTGGTAATCGTGGGCCACAGCCTCGGTGCAGCCGTTGCAACTCTTGCGGCCGCCGATCTCCGTACTAAGGGTCACGAGTCAGCCAAACTGTACGCCTTTGCTTCGCCCCGTGTGGCCAACCCGACCCTGGCGAAATTCATCACTGCGCAAAACAACAACTACCGCTTCACCCACCAGGATGACCCTGTTCCCAAGCTGCCTTTGATTGCTATGGGTTACGCCCATGTCAGCCCTGAATACTGGATCACGTCTGCTGATAACACAACTGTTACCGCCTCTGATATTGATGTCGTTGAAGGTGTACTCAGCTTGGACGGAAACTCTGGAACTGGTGTGCCGTTGATCTCGGACTTCCATGCTCACCACTGGTACTTCGAGAAGACCGATGCTTGCTTGAATAATGATCTGCCGTTCAAGCGCTAATGGTTGATTATTTGTCGCTTTACGTTTGATATGATATAACGTTAGTATAGAGGGGCCGTATGGTCGGCGTCGGTTCCTTGGATAGATATAGAAGTGTGAAAACATCTTTGCTTTTCGGTTTCAAGCTTATATGGAGAGTCTATATAGGTGCTATCTGCTGAGCTGCCAAGATGCGCAAATGTTGGCTGTTCGTTCTATCAATCAAGATAGTTGACGCTTGGGAAGGAGAGCCAAGGGCATAAACGTGCCTTCAATCACGATAGAAGCATCCCTTCCATTCAATACAATTTTCAGATACTTTTTCCTAAGATAGTCTTACCTCATAATGGCCGACTTCTTGTTGTCGTTTTATGTAACGTCCGCGGGATGCAAGCGAATCCTGTGTCCCTGACCTCCCTTTGGGTACACGGACGTACTAAGCTAAGGATTTACGTACATGATACGATAAATACATGCATGTCCTCCCCTAGAAAGCAACTCGGTAAGAAATGACCCAGTATCCACCTCCCAGACGTGTAGGACGAGTGCTTGGTAATGGCCGACTTCCAACCTCTTTTTAGATTATTTCTTTGGTAATTTTCGAGCGCGTTTTTGAAATATTATAGTAAAGTAACCTCAACGGGTGGCGCCTGATAGTTATACATAGACTTTATAGCAAGGGTTACCAGTAGTATTAAGAAAAAGAAAAAGAAAAGAAAAAGAAAGCAGAGTTACGATTGATAACTACTATGTATTCATAATATGTCTGCTTACTTAGAGGCTGGATGTCTTGTCCCTAATATCAAGGGGTTTTGATTATCTCTTTCCCGATCTATATATCTCCTAACAAGGCAAGTAATACAAATATACGTCAAGTCATAGATCACTAACGAATAAGTAGACAAAGAAAGGATATTCTTGTTGACCTAAAAGCTGATCATATGCTGACTGCTTATAAATACTTCTTAGAGGCGATGAAAATACTTACATTCACTCAACGCACAGCGTAACGTACAGTACGCAACTCGATTGAGTTTCATTTCACGTTTGACAGTTTGACAACTCGCAAATTCGACTTTATCTCATTGTTTTCATCTCACTTAATTTACGCCCACAAACAACCAAACACGTTGGTCAGTCCGAATTACACACCAGACGTCATCCTTTCACGAACAATCCAACAACAACCCGACACAATGTCGAGTCCTTTGAAGTCCCCCATGAAGGACCGGTTCACTGAGCTGAGTGCTGCTGATACCCGTCTCATTCTCTACGCAAGCATCTGCTTCAATGGCACCAAGGTAAGTTTCAGAATATATTTCGTCTGACATCTACTCACATTATATTCTTCACAGCTGGACACCGAGAAGCTCGCCCGCCTTGCCGACATGAAGCCCGGCTCTGCTGGTAGCAACTATTGGCGCGCCAAACGTCGTCTCGAGAAAATTCTCGGTGAGGAAAGACCGGGTTCATCCGTTTCCCCCACCAAGACCAAGAGTCGTGCACCTGCAAGTCGCAAGGCCGCCAGGAAGGCTCCTGAAGTCCCCCAGGCCGAGAACACCGATGAGGCCGAAGCCAAAGACGACTCTGCTGAGACACTTCTGACCACCCGTGCTCCCAAGCGCTGCAAGACCGTTACCCCGGCCGACGGGTACTTTGAAGCTGAAGTGTCCATTGTCAAAGATGAGCCCACTGATGATTGACTGATTTTCTACGAGGAAAGCCTGTCCTGGTCTAGCAATTGAGCGATTGGGAACATTCTATGGACATGGGATATGTGATTTGAGGAATGAATACAAGAAAACGGAAAACACAAAAAAAGGGAAGGCCAAGGAGGAAACTAGGGCTCTGGATTAGCACATGATCTGACCGGAAGGGGATTACGGTACTTTGTGAACATAGCCATGGAGGACTTGAGGGTAATTTCCGTTGAACAGAGGCCATTAGGGTTGTTTTCCTCGAGAACCAACCACACCGATAGTGAATTCACAGAATCAGTGGAATAATTTCCTAGTAAAACAGAAAAAGAAGGGAATTGCTAAATGGACCTCCCCTTCACTTGCCTAATCGACTTAAAAAGGCGTAATAAGATAGTATCAGGGTCTAGAGTACAAGGTATGTACACTGGTATTGCCCATAACTTATACAGTTGCGGCAATCGTACCGTCAACAGTGCGCCGTTTTTCAGGTATGTGTTAAGGCTGTCTTGTCTAAAGCGCCATATAAGTAATATAAATTCTACGCTTTCCCTAAGACAACTAACAAATAGAGGGAAGATTTATCTTTCATAAAGGGTGCGTCCCTTGAACGTCGCCTAAAAAGATTATTGTAGGTGAAGGATTCTAGGCATCCAGGCAAGCAAAACAAGCAACCGAGACTGGTAGGATGGCAGCATAAGTATTAAACCGAATTAAGTTACATAAACATGCATTAGGAAAATAATAACACTAATAAAATCTAAAAATATGTTTTTACAAAATCTTTTGTTACAATTAGATGCTTCTCCGGTTAAGCTCTGAATTAGGTAAAACGTATAGGGTTTAACGTTACAAAATTATCTGCATGGCGAAAAATATTGACTCCAGTAAATTAAAAGAAATTGCCCCTATTATAGTCTGGAATTGGCTAAGACTCGAAGTCGCCTCAAAAAACAATGCAGTTATCCCAAGCTACAAACACCAGGAATAATCACGCGAAGAATAATGACAAGGGGCACGACCAGATAAATCGACGAGAATTGTGAGAAGGGTCTTTGATCGTCAATTGGGGAGAAAGGATTCAGAGCCTTCTCACGATCGTGCAGGGATTAGATGGCCCCCCTCAAAAAATCGCACATGCGCGTGGCCCCATCTCACAACCTCAATCTACGAACACATTGGTCGAAATGTGGATAGTCACTAAAGCCCAAACAATCATATCCCGGTCTAACTTTCTTAGCCCCTGTGGGTTCTAGGGTTGCATCGCTCGTGATTTGTGATGCGACACCTTGGCTTGAGAAGCCAATAAGCCGCTGGAACATGGCGTTTATTCCTGCGAACCAGAATAATTGAACTCTGTGAGAGTGCCTCCGAACTCCAGTTCGAAGGATGTTCAGAGCTCCATACAATATGCGATAACAGCGCACAGCGTCTCTGGTTACCCTGCTCCTCCCACAAGCGTCATGCATCCCGAATTGAAGAATACCTGGACACCGGCAGTCAATGTCTTGACCTGGTTTATGCTGGTGACGGCTATACTGAGTGTCTTGACCCGGCTGGGGACAAAGTATTTCTTCTTTCGCAAGTTTACCTTCGATGATGGATTTGCCGGATCATCGATCGTCTTTTGTATTGCCGAGTCTATAGCAGTGTCTATGGCGACTGCGAATGGCCTCGGTCAGCACTACAAAATGCTAGCTGAGACTAACGTGGACAACATGATGAAGGTATGAGACCTTCTGTGGCTTCTTCCATAGAGATGCTAATGTGACAAATGGGCTTAGTCTGAGTTCGCCGCGATCATCCTGTTCATTGCCAGCATTTGTTGTTCCAAACTGTCGCTGTTGGTATTTATTCGCAACCTGACGCCGGCGTCCTTGGACCGTCGCTTTGCTCTTGTGCTGGGAATTTTGATTGGACTCTGGGCCATAACTGGCATTATTACGGCTTCGTTTCAGTGTCACCTACCGCGGACTTGGGACTATATAAATGGGAGTTGCTTTGATCGGGTATGTGGTCACTCTCTGGTCCTCACGGAAATCGCTAAAGATGACAGACCGCGTGGTGGAACTATCTAGGTATTACAAACATTTTATCAGAAGCTGGAATCATTGCTCAAGCCTTACTGGTCATCACTCGCATCCAGACAGACTTCCGCAGAAAGGCTGGTCTTTTTAGTGTGTTTTTTCTTCGAATTGTGTATGTGATCAATATTCTTTTCTTTGGTGAGCATCACTGACAGTGTGGCTACTTGTACAGTGTCATTGTCGCGATTATTTGCCAACTTGTCTACGCCAGCAAGTCATTTTCGTCGAAAGATCCATCGTTCGATACCTGGACAGTCGCCATCTCTACACAAATGGCCCAAGCATTGAGTATTGTGACGGCGTGCTCCCCACAGTTCAAGCCTTTCCTGGACAATCTACGGTCATCGGGGATGAGTCTTGAAATGTCGAGCTCCAATGGCTATGGTAGCAAGCACAAGACCTACGGCATGACTACATTCAAAGGCAGCCGCCGGATCCAAGACACTCGAAGCGAGACCCATGAACTGGTCTCCATACCACGCGAAGGAACCCACCACACTTTAGTCACCTCGGCACCGGACGACGACGCCGAAAGCCAGTCGAGCCTGTCTAACATTATCGTGGAGACCCGGACCTGGACTGTGACAGAGGGGCTACAGCAATGAACTAAAAAGGCGAGAGTCGCGGACTAATTTTTAGTATGAACTATGGGTCGTGAAACGGAGGCCAGACCGTCCCACTATACATAGTTATTGGTAAAGAAATTCCCAAAAAGCATAATATCACAAGCCAATTTAGAATTCTAGAATACGCGGGGCGAAGGTACTGCAACAGTGAGACAAGGATCTCATCTTGTCCGGTCGCGCTAGCAGCGAGGAAGGATCTAGCGTGCATATTTAGCGTCGTCCGCTTAGACTTTCGGGGCCGAAACTCACAGTTGCCTCCGAGCTCCATAGCATAATTGGCCTATGGGCAAACACTTTATGCAATTGTTTCTGGGCGTTCCACATCTGGTCATCCCTACGAGAACTATGTTGCATCGGCTCAGTACACTGTGAAACAAATCAATTTAGTAGTATTTTGCCCTTGCTAGCCTTCTTCATGGCCCCCCTGACCGTGTAGAAGCGCGTGAAGATGGTACCCACCACATGCAGGCATGTTGCAGGTTTATAAATATTTTTCTCTGCATTTAGAGACCTGAACTTGTGACTTGTCTTTGCTTTTCCTCTGGCACCTTCGAACTAAGGATGCCGTCTCAGTACTCGAAGCAAATGTCGACCTCTGGTATGCAGGAGATCGGCCCTCCGACCAGCAAGGAGCTGGATGATGCCAATCTGGCACGGATGGGAAAACGTCCTGTTTTGAAGGTGGGATTTCTTTGAGGACGTGCATTGCGATCTGGACTAACTGAAACAGCGCAACTTTGGATTGATGTCCATGCTTGGATTCAGTTGTACGATTCTGATTACTTGGGAAGGAATTGTCGTGTGAGTGATCTTGACTCGTAAGATATGTCTATATCTTTGACGTGGGCTAATATATACTCCATAGTCTTTTCTTGCAAGCATACCAGAAGTAAGGACTGATCGCGACCATCGATAGCGCAAATATACTGACGGTATTTACAGTGGTGGCCCGGCTGGTGCAGTATATGGATTTCTCTTCGTGTGGGCAGGTGTCGCAGCGACATTTGTGATTCTTTCCGAGTTGGTATCAATGTATGTGCCAACCGCTTCCTTTTTCACACAGGAATCGGAGACTAACTCTCCATAGGGCACCAACGTCTGGAGGCCAGTACCATTGGTGTTCAATGTTAGCACCGCCATCTATGATGAAACTACTTAGTTATTTGACAGGTGGGTTGACGAGCGCAAGAGCATGATCGATACTGGATTCTAACATGAATTACAGGCTGGCTCACAGTTATCGGATGGCAGGCAACATTCGCAACCTCGTGCTACCTGGTCGGTACCTTGATCCAAGGCTTGATCACATTGACAAACAGTGGCTACAATCCTAAGAATTGGCATGGAACTCTACTATACTGGGCTGTCGTTGTCTTTTCTGTCGGCATCAACAGTGTCGGAGGAAAGGTCCTTCCCCGATTTGAGGGCATGATTCTGGTCCTTCACATTCTGGGTTTCTTCGCGATTCTCATTCCCTTGACCTATATGGCCGACCATGGCACAGCCAAGGAAGTCTTCACTGACTTCCTCAACCTTGGAGGTTTCCCATCTCAGGGACTTTCCTTCTTTGTTGGAACGGTCGGTTGCATCTTTGCATTTGCCGGTGGTGATGCAGCTGTTCATGTGAGTTCCTTCTTTTCTTATAGACAAAAGTAGCAGCCGGACTAACTTGATCATGTCTCCAGATGTCCGAAGAAATTACGAACGCCTCAGTGGCAGTGCCACGCTCGATCATGCTCAGTGTCCTGATCAATGGATCTATGGGATTCGGCATGTTGCTTGCCATGCTCTTCTGCATAGGTGATATTGAATCAGCTCTCAAATCAACCACGGGATACCCCTTCATGGCTATTTTCCAACAGGCAACAGGCTCCGTAGCTGGTACTGCCGTAATGGCCTCCATTGTGACCACCATGGGTGCGACCACCTCAGTTGGCATGCTAGCATCCACATCCCGGCAATTCTGGTCTTTCGCTCGTGACCGGGGTATTCCCGGTTGGAGAGTGTGGAGTAAGGTATGTACTCATCCCAATCCAAATCTTCTCCTACCCCAGTGCACACCAAGCTAACATTTGGCAGGTCACCGAGAAATCAGCCGTGCCCTTGTACTCCGTTCTTCTCACATCCGTGGTCGCTTGTCTGCTGGCTCTTATTAATATCGGTTCCCCAGTGGCATTCAACGATCTCTGCTCGATGTCCATCTCCGGTCTTTACTTATCCTATATGGTCGTCGGCAGTCTTCTTCTCTGGCGCCGTTGTACTGGCGGTATCAGCTCCAACCGCAGCAGTGACTCAGCTGTCGTCAACACCGCAGGCGCAAAGCTCGTCTGGGGTCCGTTCCATCTGCCCGGTATTTGGGGTATCCTGGTCAATGTGTGGGCTTTGATCTACATGACCATCGCTGTCTTCTTTACCTTCTGGCCAACAAGCTGGGTGGTGACTGTTCAGACTATGAACTTCAGTGTGGTTGGAACTGTAGGAACTATTATCCTCAGCCTTGTGTACTACTTTGTCCGTGCGCGAAAAGTCTATAACGGACCTGTCATGGAAAGTGGTTTGTAAAATAAAAATGACGATGAGCTACAGTTCCTCGTGAGGGCGAGCGGGGCTGTATATAATTTGGAACCATTTGGACCGACGTTATTCGCGGCGATATATTATATAGAGAAAGAATTTTCGATAATACATAGGTAGCTATATTGGTTTTTCAGCCTAGCAAGCGCCTTTTTTTTTTGAGGACCGCAGCTTTGACATAGCCCCTAAGCTCCTAGGAAACTGCTGGATTGCGAAGTCACATGGAGTGCCGACTATTCTGTTTTTAGATTGTTGGCTCTCTAGTCTCTGCCGCTCTTCCATATATACCTCTACACGAAATTTGCGAGGGACGTCTTCATGAGATTGCAAGGTGGTGCTACATCGGCCAGCTCCTTGGCGCCAAGATAAGAGGCTTGTATTGTACATAACGGGCTCATGCCCCTTTATTATCGGGGCTCAAATATCCGAATCTCCTTTTCTTTAACAATTCCGCCGCCATCAATGGAGCTCAGGGCTACTTCGTTCTCATGGAAGTTTCACCACGAGGATTGGGATACGCCATGGCAGTCCCAGTCCGGAGACTTCCCTGCCCATGAAACTGATCTTGAACACATGAATAGACAACGTCTCTTTAAGATTCAGAGTTGGTTTAGACTTGCTAGTTGCGAAGCCACTCAGCTTTTGAGAGAGGAGTTCAACCGCTGGCCATGGGGATATACCATATATCGCACTGTGTATACCCCGGAATCCGACATCCAGTGGGAGGCTGCTGCAGACGCAATCCGAGCAAATATCTTTGCCACCCTCGATTGGGCGTTACAACACGGACGGAGGCAAGATAAGCAAGCACATCGGCTCTTACGCGATGGATATCGCAGCCTAGTGTTTAAGGACAAGGCCAATCTTGAGGGCGCTAGCATTGATCAAGTTCGGGAGCAATTCAAAGCGTTCGTCACTAGTGACCCGGGTGCTTTTGGTACTCGATTTCGCTGGTGCCTAGTTATCGATGAGGAGGCCCTACAGTCGTTTATCCGCCACCCTCAGCCTGCGGAGTTTTGTGAATTGTTACAACCCGATGGAATTGAAAAGAATGGTGCCTGGGTGACAGTAGTCGACCCTGTATTTGAGTTAGACACGAAGCCTAGGCGCGGAAAGCGATCTTATCGGGGATACATGCGTTGTCATCTAAACAGACTCGAAAGTCTTGCGTGGGCGGGATGTGTAAATCATATGTCGGAGATAATTCATCAGGGACCGGATGGTATTCCCTGGTTTGAAGATAACATTTGAGGAGCAGAAATGAGAGCTTTTGTGCAGAGAGTATCCAATGCTTCATCAGTGGCACTGTAACACAGTTATGACCCCTTGTTGTATGACATCTTAAATAGGGCACTGGTGCCTGCGGCAACATAATGAGAGACATACCAGAACATAAAAGAGAGCACATTATTATGTTTATTTTGCTTGTAGCTATACTGGATGAGATAGAACACCTGAATGGTCAAAAGTTCGAGCAGTGTCAGTGCATGGAGCCATGATGTATGCCCAGATGAGGATCGGCAACCACATCTCGGACGTTGACCGAGATGTGAAAATTTAAGGTACAAGCTTAAATTTTAGGTTCCCGAGCGTCAGCATGTTAAATCGATCGACAGAGATGCTTAAATACACCCTACCTTGTCTCTTGCCTGCCATTGATCTGATCATCCCCGTGAGGATTTGAAGAAACCTAAGTACGGAAACCTGAGACACCAGGTCTCAGATGCTGCACTACTGTACGTACAGCCACCGAGCCCCTGACATGATACCAAATAGTCGGGCCACAAGGAGTCGATGATCCATCAATTTAACCAAGATACCAGCTTGGCTGTGGTGAATATTGGAGACGCTGTTGGATACAACAGACGGGTCCATGCCTGTCGGGGAACCAACAGCGGAAATGCGCAAGGAATATGAAGCTCGGCGCTTCAGGAATGAAGGCAACCAACAGCCATCAAGTGATGAGATTGTGCGGTCCGCAGCCGTTGTCGCAAGCCAATGTCCGTAGGTCTTGATTGCATTTATCTCTCGGTTCCCCGTGCAAGACTCCAAGCCTTGCAGATTTGACTATGCTGAAAACTTATTCCAGGCACTTCATTTATTTCACTCGTTTGACAAAATTACCGAGGTGTGAACTACAATGTTACTGCGGACTGGCTGTTAAAAGGTGGTCTAGATTCTTGGGTATCGTAGAGTAGGAAGATGATAAGGAAACACATGCAATATAATGGTCATAGTAGACGACATGTTTGTATAGACGTTCGAAGCACTCGTTGTATCGGCTTGAAACAATTTTTGCCGTGGTATCATAGTAGCAGGAAAACGAAGGTCCCAAAAACATCCCGAAAGTCAAAACATCATTGCTCGTCGATGGTTAGAAGAGCGCAATAAAGGAAAGCGAAAGTATATCAAAAACACGCTAAAATGCAACAAAAGGTAGCAACTGGCAACCGCGTACTTCGAATTCTCAACGACCGGTAGACTGATAATGATTCATCTGGGCGTTCTGGTATGATAAGTCATTTGCGGGAGGCCATGAATAAAGTGACAACTGCTGGAAGAAAGTCAGTACAAGGATTCAAGCGTTCGAGTTAAGCGTTGGGTCACTCACTGGGCTCTCTGGCTTAGTCAAAATTGGATCGATATCAATTGTATCCGTGTTCCAGATTGTGGGGTTCAGCTGCTGATGAGACGAAGCGAAAGCCTCAGGCTTGAGAATGCTGCGAAGGTAATGGTCGATGCTAGTCACCAGCTCGACAGGGAGACCCGAGACAGGATATTGAGTGTCGGTGTTGGTATATGATTCGGTTGAGACTGGTGAGCTGCATCTCTCATTTGTGAATGAGTAAGGAGACGCGTGTCCATCGACAGATACTGGAGAGTCGCGCTGACTCGGTGAGTTCTGAGAACAGGTCATCGAAGAATCCATGCTTCCCCATGTCCGAGAGTAATTGTTGGACTCAAGTTGGAAAGGCATGGGAGGCGAATGAATCGGTTGCGACTGCATCTCCTGTATATTTAAAGGGCGAGATGATGTGTCGCTTTCCGCGCAAGATCTTCCGACTCTAGGGGACGAGGACGAACTGTCATTGTCATGAGTTGGCTAGTTATATTATAGAACACCGAGGCGAATACTCACTGTCGGGATATGTGCTGCGTCAAGTAGTCAGGACGGTGGAAGGCCTTTCCGCACCCGGGATATGTGCAAGTATATTGTTTCCTCGATTGGTGGCTGAGCTCATGCCGTCTGCGATGTTCGGCTCTGGTAAAGACCTGGATTAAGTTAATACCACGGCCTGTCAATCCTGTTCTCGGGTAATTAATTAATTACCTTTGGACATCCAGGGTACTCGCATATATGTACTCTCTTGCCCTTTAGTGCTTTGCTAACCCGGCTAGAATTTGAAGGAGAACGCGAGGGCGCTTTTGTTTGGGCGTTTATATACATTTCCGTTTCCTGAGGATCGCGGTTTAGGATCTGGGAAGGATCAAAAGGTCGAGAATTGCAGGATGTTAAAGGTGTATCATAAGGGTTGCCGAGAGGAGACATGTTGGCGCAAATCACGAAGTATACTGTGTGACTCGGGTCAACCAAAATGAGGTGAACGTAGAAACTTCAACTGTGGAAGGATCGGAGGATTTAGTCTGAAGAAAGAGCGAGGGGAGTGGACTTTATGATAAGAAAGAAATAAGCTGGGGGTAATGGTCGGAGGGTCCCGTAAAAAGGAAGACCCACGGGCTAAACAGACCCCAATATTCAAAAGCGAACTATCACCAAACAGTCAAGAGAAGAACGCCTGAAACGGGCCCGAAGAAATGGGCCCGAAGAACGCCTAATGGTTATAATTTTCAGCCCACAGGCATGTATTAGGTTAGGACAACGGCCGGTGAATTTTAGTTCGGTTGAAGATGGGGATCTTCTTCTTACTAGAAGGCGATCAGAGCCTCAGGCTGTTCGGCTACACATCTAATGGTATTTTCATTGGTTTGCACCCCACTGGGCGTATTTGTCAAATAGTGAAGATACATGATTAGTGGAGATACATGGTTGCGGTGTGAGTCTCCATCTTTCACCCAGGCCTTCAGTTTCACCTATTAGGAAACCCGAATGAAATACCCCGTATGGTTTAAGCCCGGGACAACTAGGTCAGCTTTGGCAGTGGGGCGATCGGATTTGATGGCGATCAAACATGGCCCCGTTGACAGAGAGCTCGTCGTTACTATCTTCACGGTAAGGTCTGCAGAACTGCGCGAGGCTGTGTAGTTATTTTTGCTTTTAGCAGCAATTACTATTAACCCTGTAGCTAGCATGGCTAGCGTCGCAACTGTTACCAACTTTAAACAATAAGGGCTGAGTTATGGAAACCAACACTAAACAATCGATCTTATTGGCTAGACTGTGCTGCCGGGTTTATGTACGTCGTAAAAGGGCGCGGTGTCCATATCGCTTCCGAGAGGTCGATCAACGCCGGAATGGTTCAGAGTGGGTGATCTACAGCAGGTCTCGAACGCTAAGGAACCTCCAGAGGCTCAACACACCCAGCGAGGTCCACTTGATGTCCAACTTGCATATACGCGAGGCCATCCTTGGCGAATAGGGGCATTCCGTGTCCTAAGTCGCGTCCCCACTGTCCGAGCTTAGGCACAAGACCGGTAATTTCATCTTCCTCGACTAAATGGGATGCATTCTCTTTCAGTCTCTGCAGGCTGTGATGTCCCCGTTGGAAAAGCCGGGACCCTTGTATCCTCAATCTCGTTTTAGCCTCTCGGGGTATAACCCCTGAACAAGGAAATAGGTGCTGTCAAAATGGTCCCACGGCAATCTGGCATGGCCCACAGATACCGGACCTGGAGTGTTACATCGGCTAGGAGCCGTGGCCGTCGTGGGGGCCAAATGGACTGTTGGTCCATGCAATTGCAATATATTTAGATGTAAAGCAATATAGATTCCACAAAAGGGAAAGAGACCGTGGTTCCTGCCTCCCATGGATGTTCCTACAAATGGTCGGCCGTCGGCAATCATGTTACGCGATTTTTCGTTCTGACGGGCGTCATTGCCAGCTTTAGCGGCCGCACCAAGCCTCCACTCCCCCCATTTGAGGCTTTAAGCCGTGATTAGTGCGGCACATCAATATGTTGATCGTCATAACAGTGATTTGTATTATGGCCCCTTTCCACGTGAATTTGTGAGGATTTTTACCGGGAATGCATTCCTTCTATCCTGATCCATGCAAATTATGCACTCCCTGAAATGAATTACCGGACAAATCTCGCCGAATTCTAAGAATAGCTACCTTCAAACATTCAACATAATCTCACTGCCACAAAATTGCGGCAGCGAGTTTCATGTGTAGGTTAATAACGTTCAACGTCTCCCTAGAAGTGGCTCGGCCATACTTCGGCTAATGAGAGGATTTACCAAAATAGAACCCCAAGACAATGATGTCAAACTGCTTATACGCGTACCTCAGGAAATTTATCATATATTTTAGAACAAAGGCAATTCCAAATGTCAATAAGCTTTCATGTTCTGACGTTTGAAACGGGTGGATAAAAATACTCATCCCACAGCTACGGTGTATCGCTCATGCCATAGAGGCATGAGGAGGGTCGGAGATCAGCATCACTGGTCCTAGCTGAGGCACCAAGTGGGGTGAACATCAAATTCCAAAAAGGTTATCCTCTTAAAAGCCCTTGTGCGATGGAGTTGTGTTGGTTACCCACTTGACCGGCCACTCACGGGGTTTTACGGCCGAACCCCTGTCCTGTGGGGGGCACAGGCGTACCGATTTTGGAGTGCTTAAATTCCGAGTGTATGGGCGGCTAACGCTAGGGGATGAGAAATCCCGCAAATTGGATTGTGTCGCTCACTGGCCCAAAGACTGTTTATATTTGGTTTTTGCCTATTAGGGACTTTCAACACATGGCTTCCTGTACATTGTCGTGATACCGCACGATTTCGATTAAGGGAACATTTTATTTTATTTTTTATCACTCGCTGTTACCAATCTGCCTTGCGCGGGATGTTTTAAGTCTGTAGGGCTGAGTGGTCATGTGAGAGGAGCCCAGGGCCATGAGCTCGCGCCCAGTTCTGCAGTTGACCCTTGAAAACATTAATAAATGAGAAAGATTGTGGTATGGACCTCAACGGATATCATAGCGCTCTGATTTCTACGCCGACTAACTTATAACAACTCGAGATTTGACTTCTCTCAAGCAAAGCCCGAAGCGCCCGAACTCCGTTCACTGGGCAAATAACTCTTCGAAGTCCGTAGTCTGCATGAGATAATTTGTTCAGAGCTAGTGTCCTTTTGATGGACTAGTCGACGGTGTTGTGTCGGGTGTACCTGCTTTACACATCTAGGCCCGCCAGTGACATTCTCCAGCTCCTTCTGACACTACACATCTTGAAGCTTCCTAATATCCATGAGAGAAGTGTCTTTGATACTAATTTGTCACAGTGTTCTCGTCTTACCGAAACCCTATTTTTGTTGCCAATCGGTTTCTCTTGTTCTGAGTTGTCGCTCAAGTCACTCAGGGGCTATCTAGCGCGACGTGAGGATTTTGACAAGTTTACTGACAACCGATATAAGTTATAGATTTGAAGTTTGTTTGTTGTTATCACAAGCAAATAAATATTCCCGCGACTTCATCAATGTAGGCTTACATCCTGCCAGCGTTGCGGACTTTGATCGCTAAAGATATATTAACCGTCCAGAAGAAAAAAAAAAAATGTGGCAACCGTAAGCGAAAGCCATATAACCATGTGCCTTTCCCTCGGGAATTTCAGTCAAATTTGAGTTATGCGCAAATATCTTGCTTCGAGCTTAAGTACGGGATACAGTCTATCAGTTGAATGATGCGATCTTTAGCCACCAAGATGCCATTCCACCACCACCCTTGGCAGTTCTTAACCCCTCACAAATCTCTAGACTTTTGAGATAAACATCACTCAATATTTGGCAAGATGATGCAACTCAGTGCCAAGTTACTCGCTACGAGAATACGCATATTTCAAGGAAAGATAGACCGACAAGTGACATCGCTAATGCGGAGAGTATAAAGAGAGAGACAATCTGCGCCCGATCGAGCGTATCCTCAGTCCTGAGCGAAAGAAGTCCATTTGGTAATACTCATCCTTCCCCGGATTATCAAGATGTCGACCGTTTATTCCGCAAAGAAGGGTCCCCGAGAATACGTCTCGTCTGTTCTGGATGAGACGAACTCTTCTACCAGCAGCCACATTTCGCCCTTGGGTGAACCGAATGAAGAACGCCGCTTCTGGTTCCAGCGAGGCAAAGGCTATAACCCTGGCGCAATTGCGACCCAGCCTTCTGTTTTTGATGACCCTGATACTGCGAAGGAATACCAACCCCGCGCCGACTGGGAGAACTTGCATCGATTCGACCCGTCTGCCCGATGGACGTGGGGCGAAGAATATAAGTTGATCCGGAAGATAGATGTACGCATTATGATATGGAGTTGTCTCATGTTCATGGCGCTTGAGTTGGATCGGTCCAATCTTCAACAGGCTTTGACTGACAACATGCTTCATGAGCTGCACATGACTACCAATGGTAAACTCCCAATGCTAAGTTTGAAGAGATACCGAAGCTAATAAATGTTATCCTTCTAGACTACAATCTTGGAAATACCGTTTTCAAGCTTTCATTCCTCTGCGCCGAGTTGCCTTCCCAGCTTGTTAGCAAATGGGTAGGACCTGATCGGTGGATTCCCAGCCAGATGGTCCTTTGGTCTGCTGTGGCGATGGGACAATATGCACTGAATGGACGAACCTCATTCCTTGTGTGTCGCGCTCTTCTTGGAATCTTGCAAGGCGGATTCATTCCCGATGTAAGTCAAGTTTGTTCTGGCTATGAACTTTGCTCATATGAAGACAGGTCATTCTGTATCTCTCGTATTTCTACAAGCATCACGAGCTATCTATCAGGCTGGGTTTCTTTTGGACAGCCATGAATATTGCAGATATTCTTGCTGGATTCCTGGCATTTGGTCTCTTGCACCTTCGTGGCGTAGAGGGCCAATCGGGCTGGCGCTGGCTTTTCTTGCTTGAGGTGAGCATACATCTCCTGTTAATGTTAGATGCCACTAATACCAGTATCAGGGCCTATTGACACTTCTGTTTGGTCTCGCTGCTTTTATCCTGATGCCACCCGGGCCGTGTCAAACCGCAAATTGGGCTCGAGGGAAAGCTGGGTGGTTTACTGAGCGGCAAGTCAACGATCTCGACCCTTAATTAACACCTGCTAATATGTCCAACAGAGAGGAGACTATCATCGTCAATCGAGTGATTCGCGATGATCCAAGCAAAGGCACCATGCATAATCGCGAGCCCATAACGCCAAAATTGCTGTGGAAGAGTCTCAGGGATTATGACCTTTGGCCCTTGTATATCATTGGGCTCACTTTCGGAACTCCAATGACGACAGCCAAGCAGTATCTTACGCTCACGCTGAAAGGCCTCGGCTTCAGCACATTTGTTACCAATCTTCTAACCATTCCCACTGAATTCCTTTCCATCGTCTTCCTTCTGATCTTGACGTACGTCTCTGAGGTCACGGAACAATTGACCTTGGTGTCGATGCTCGGTCAAATATGGGTACTCCCATTCGTGGTGTATCTATATGTTGTGGACATCACCGCCGTCAATAAATGGACTGTTTGGGCGGTCATGACACTTCTACTGGCTTATCCAAATGGTGGGTTACCTTCCACAGTCTCTTATCGAAAAGTTGCTAACATTCCCCAGCACACGCCATCCAAGTCGGTTGGAACTCTCGAAATTCAAACGCTGTCCGATCTCGCACGGTCTCAGCTGCCATGTATAACATGTGTGTCCAATCCTCCGGAATCATCGCTTCTAACATTTATCGAACTGGTTCGTCATTTCTTTCACTTTTTCCATGTTTAGCTACGGGTTCTAACTTGACGCAGATGATGCCCCCCGCTATCGGAGAGGTAACCGTGTCCTAGTAGGACTTGTCGTCTCAAACATCTTCATCTATCTATTGACCAAGGTCTACTATGTCTGGCGCAATTCAAGCCGTGATAAGAAGTGGAACGCTATGACCGACAACGAGAAGGCCCATTACTTGGCAACCACTAAAGATAGTGGTAATAAGCGACTCGACTTCCGATTTGCGCATTGAGCAAGATCATAGCATGAAAATAGTGAGAATTATCATGTGAATATGCTTGGAAGCCCGGTTTTGTCCGTTGATTGTTGGTGGTTGTGGATTTCAATTCGATAGAGCAATCAAGAGAGAGAGATTATACTTCGGTTATGCCGTACAAGCCAAATGTAGCCTTTTTTTGTGCCACAGTAGCCGAATTATGCTTTGATTTAAAGAGATGTCTACTTTTACTTCTATTGTGAGGGCACGAGCCAGACACTACATGGCGTGCTTGGATCAATACGAACAAAATAGGACAATATAGCGAATCAGCAATGAGAATTACCGATAGCCGGTCGATCACGAATGCCTTGATCAATTCGCTTACAATGGAATATTGTATAATTATGCAATTTGTCATCCTAGTTGCGCAACCTCCAATCTATATTGTCTCATTCCATGCGATTTCGATGGCGGGAAGTGACATGATATCCGGGGTAAATGGCGAATATCAAAACACACTTTATCAATATAAGCAAATACGTGATTCCACATAGATTGTGCGACAAATATCCACGTTCCAGATCTGAGGGGTTGCAACTATGAAGCCTGGACATTAACTTATAGTAAATAGTAAACATTACACACGGGTATTCGGCACCAATTCTCAAAGTACGAAGTTATAAAAGGCAGTTGTCGCACTCATTGTACAATTCACATCACAAAAGCGTCTATCTCTTCGGAATATCACTTTAACAATGGCATCCGCAACTGTCGAAACTACCACGCCCGTAGTTCCCCTCATCGAGGAGAGGATTACACTGAAAGGCCTCGCCCGCGAGCCGTTGAAGCCAACCGGAGCTCTAGACGCTTTTGAGTCTTTTGACGTAACCCCAGTGATTGGACGTGAATTCCCCAATGCCAATTTGAGAGATTTCCTCCGCGCTCCCAACTCCGATGAGCTACTTCGCGAACTTGCCATTACTAGTAAGTTACACCGCTAACCACCCATATGAACTAATATTGACATAAAACACCAGTCTCCCAGCGAGGCGTCGTCTTCTTCCGCAAGCAAGATGGTCTCGACAATGACCTGCAGAAGGAGCTTGTTCAGCGACTTGGCGAGCTCTCGGGCAAGCCAAGCACATCTGGACTGCACATCCACCCCATTGCCAACTCGGGCCGGGATCACAGTGTGAAGGATGATGAGATTAGCGTGATCAGCTCTGAAGAGCGAAAGAAGCTATACAGCAATTACCGAAAGGACCGCAAACAGAGTGGTCGGAAGGAGTGGCACAGTGATATCACTTTTGAGCCTATTCCTAGTGACTATACCCTTTTGCGTCTCACGGAATTGCCCAAGACTGGTGGTGGTGAGATCCATTTATATTTCTTCCCTTTTCCCAATAACTTGTCAAAACTGACCAAATTCTAGATACTCTCTGGGCATCCGGCTATGAGGTTTACGACCGTCTTTCCGAGCCCTACCAGAAGTTCCTGGAGGGCCTCACTGCAACATATGCCCAACCAGGCTTTAATGCAATTGCCAAAGAACACGAGTTCAAGGTCCACCCCGGTCCCCGTGGTGCACCCGAGAATGTCGGAGACGACCTTAGTGCCGTGCACCCAGTGATCCGTACCAACCCCGTCACCGGCTGGAAGAGTGTCTTCGCTGTGGGCTCACACGTCCAGAAGGTTAACGGTCTCTCCGATGAGGAGAGCCGCCATCTCCTCGACTGGTTTGTGACTCTCATTGTCGAGAACCACGATTTGCAAGTTCGCAATCGCTGGCAGAACCCCAATGACCTTGGTATGTCTTTCTTCTTGGACTTATCTGTTTCAGTGTCTAACTGTTCTATAGCTATTTGGGATAACCGCTCGGTGTACCACGCCGCAACGTGGGACTATGACAACCTTGGCCCGCGCACTGGGCACCGTGCTGTTGGTCTTGGCGAGAGGCCTTATCTGGACCCCCAAAGTATTGGGAGACGGGAGGCTTTGGCGAAGGATCAATAGAATGAACTTGTTTGAGCTAGATATAACCTGAGACGGAACTTGGCAACGTCCTATAGGCCTAATTCATACTACATCAAATTCGTGAACATCATTCTTCTAATCCAAACCCTTGGGTTGCTTTCGTGAAGATTGCCGGATTCGAGACATATTTGGGGACTGTCTACCGTTTGGCTTGTTAAGGGATGATATTAAAGCTGTACATTTCTATCTCTTTTTCTTTCTCCTTTTTTGCTTATTTTCAAAAGAAAAGCTAAAATGTTTAAGATGCTTTCAAGCATAACTCGTGTTGATAGCTGTTGAAGCTGGCCTAAGCCGAACGCAAACTATGGACATAAGATGCAAAGCTCTATCAGTGACAAAAGAAGACAACGGATACAAGACATGCACCTAGAGGATAGTAGTTACATTAACAGGACGGACGGCGCTGGCGGTGTCACTGAGAGCCGATGGGTTAGGCGATGGGCCCGGTGTACGATCGACCTTATTTTGGCGTTGGATGAGACCGTTTGTGATTCCGAGGACGGAATCGACAATTACGGCGTCGATGCCTTCAGCTACTTGGTACTATTTGTGAAGTTAAGTGGGTGAACCAGACAGTGAACAGAAGGAAGAAAGGACTTACGTCGACGTTTGCACCGTCATTATTGAGCGCTCCATAAGAGACACACACAAGACCGGATTCCTTAACGATGCGAACCAGTCGCGGGCAAAGCACCAATGGCTGCGCCTGGCTGACGATACCGAGAAGGTTCCAGCGAGAAGCGAACCGAACGGCCTCCTGCAAGCTGCTAGCGCGGATATCACCAACCGGGGAAGCGCCTGCGTCAGTCAAGAAGAGGACGGGAATGGACGGCTGCTTGAAAGACAGCAATAGACAGATATCCGGGTTGAAGCTGGAGAACAGCATGTCACGGCCAACACCGAGGTCGTAGACCTTTGTCAGGATGGTATCGACAAAAGAGTTCAGTTCAACGGCGTAGGTGTCCATTTCTTCCTCCTCGCTCTCGTGGAGCATGGGGTATTCTGGCGACCACGATTAGATCGACGAAAGGGTAGCTGTTCTTTGGAGGCTGTTATAACTCACTAAGTTCAATGTTGAAGCCAACGGGCTTGGGAATTTTCTTGAAAAGTTCTTCGAGGGTGGCGAAGGGGGCTTGGATGTGCTCGCCGCGCGTGTTACCCTTGAAGCCCTTCTTCTTGAAATCACGGGTGTGTTTGATCTTTTCTGTCAACTCGGCTGGGTTGTACTCCGAGCCGCCGACTGACATTGAGCGCTGGCGGGGACCGATGTCGAAGATCTCGCCATTTAGGTTCACAGGACCGAGGACATTGCGGTGACGACCCTTGCCCAGCTCGAGGAACTGATCTAGCGTCAAAGTGTGGACAGGCGCGTCGATACCAGTCTCGCTGACGAGGAAGTCGTGATAGATGACGGGGACGTGGTCTTTTGTGAGCTGCACGTCGAACTCGACGTATGAGGCACCCAGGTTGGCCGCTGCGATGAAGGACTGGATAGTGTTCTCGCCCAATTGTAAGGAATTGCGGCTAGCCATGTTCTTGCCCAATCCACGGTGACCAATGACCATTGTCGAGCTCATTGAGCGCCAGTAGGTCTGGTTTCCTGTGATAGACATGTTGGGGTGCTTGAAAGGGGTGATGACGAGAAAATTGAATGTTACAGAGCCAATCACCTCCAGAGTGTTAGCAGCAATAATGGGAACGGTGGAATCACCCTTGAGATTAATCCGGTGGGATCCAACTGTAGGCTTGATGCTGGAAAGCAGAGCTACACCACGGCCAACGACCTTCTCCTTCGATCCAGCATAGGTGGGAACAAGGTCGAAGAGAAGACGCACCTTGCTTGGATCGGTGGTGTGGAAGACAATCGGCTCAGTTGAGATATTGTCCTGCACAGGTAGGTCAATGACTTCTGGCTCGCCGTGCGCACCGCTAGCGGTGATAACCATCGACAGAGATGTGTCCAGCTGGGTGGCATGCGCGTTTTCCATTGGGATGCGGTCAAGGCTGACTGTCTCGAGGGGCTTGCGCATATCCATGGTACCCAGACTAACCAGGATCATGGCCTCGTCGGTGAGATACCGATGTCCAAATGTCTTAATAGGTTCAGTATTGCGTAGGCCAGAACTCCCGGAGGTGGGACCAGGCGCATTCGACCGACGGTCAGTAAGAGACGACTGGGCCGGGGGCGAGGAGGAGTCGGAGCCAGTGAGGTTTGGAGTAGACGATGAAAGATCGGGCTCAATAGCAGGAGGGCCGGGACTGACTTCTGCCAGACACTGAGCAATGTCAAGATGACCTCGCAGAGCAGCGTGCTCCTTTGCGGTCCAGCCGGACGAATCGAAACGTTCCAGATCCGCACCGGCAGCAACCAGAAGCTTAGCCACGCTCAGACATCCGTCTACACAGGCAATAAACAAGGGGGTCCAGCCATATGTCTTCTCAGCCAGCTCCGTGTCTCCCTTTTGGTACGCAGTACCGTCAAGCAGAATCTTCGCACACTCGTCATGGCCAAATCGAGCAGCGACGTGCAATGCGGTTTCTCCTTGCTCATCCTGGTAATTGATATCCACACCGGCATCCACCAGAAGGTGCACGATATCAATAAAGTTGGCCTTGGTCGCAAGTGCCAAGACGGCACTAGACTTGGAGACTTGCTTTCTAATACTGCCCGCTTCCTGAGTATCGCCCCGATTCTCGGCGTCCAAGAGGCATTTGGTGGTCTTGGGGTGACCACCCACAACACTTAGATGGAGAGGTGCCCAGCCATCATCGTCCTGCCACAAAGGGCCGTCGATTCCATCATTGACGTCAAACATGTCCCATTCTCTGAGGTGCTCTATGATCACTTCGCAGACCACCTTGAACCCATACTGGGCCGCATAGTGCAAGGGTGTGCGGCCAGAAATGTCCTTGGCCATCAAAGACTCCCGCTGGTCTGGGCGCAGAGTATCCAGCAGGAATTGAAGAAGGACAACAGCAGGGTCATCGCGACCCAGCTG